TGTGTTGTTTTGTTTTTTGCTTTTGTATAAAACCTTTGTGGACATTCCAACGTCCATAAGGTCTTAGTCTTTTGTGTCAACAAACTCAAAAAGGCTTGTTCGTTTCTTCTCCTGTCTGATATTACGTAAGTTGTGTACCATAATGTTTTATTATTATTATTATTATTATTATTATTATTATTATTATTATTATTATATAAATCATGTCAAGTGCAAAGAGTCTTCTTGTTTTGTTCGTTTGTTATTAACGCGTTCCTGTATGTTCAGATTATTATTTCAGATCTTGATTTCGGTTTTTAACCCTCTAGTCCCATACGTCGGTTTGTTCGTACAGTATCAGTCCTGTCTTTTCTATGCTCCTCTGCAACTTATTTTTGTCAGTATGTCCAAAAATTCACGCTTATGGGATTCACTCGTGCTCCTTATTAAAGATGTCACGAAGTGTCTCCCTTTCGCGTTAACCTCACCTTATTTGTCAAACATGAAAAAATAATGTGCAATTTATAAATTATTGTGTCTATTTTAAAGAAGGCAAAAAAAGTGCTATAAATCTTCATTATTGGAAATAGTAAATATATTTAATTGAGTTGGCTTGGCCGCATATAGTATTTAGTGTTTTCGTCCATTCTCCGAACGCCAATCATTGGGTGAGTTTAATCGACTTTGGAGGTCCTGTCGGTAGTGGTAGTTATCATGCTTTTACACTGTTTGCTTTTACTGATATGTTATAATTTGCCGTTTTTGTTCTCCCAGTTTACAAGGAAAGCCCAGGAAAAGCAATTATAATAGCTCTTAAATGTCATGGTTATTTATATAGCTGTTTTTCTGGTAACAGCCATGGCTCTTGGTTCTGGTTAAAATTACAGCAAAATTTTAACTCTCTCTGTGACTTAGGTTGTGCAGATAACAATAGTAGGTGCCGGTATTGGACAAGATACTGCTCTTTCAACTCTTGGGTGAGGGCGAATTGCAAGAGGACGTGCAGACTTTGCTAAAGCGTGAGGTATAACAAAAATAGTTACTGTCAAACCTTCCGTAAGCAACCACCAAAAATGCAAAGAGTAAGTAGTCGATTACGGGAGGTTGTCGCTTACGAAAATAGAACCGCAAAGGGTCTCTTCCTAGAAGAGGATCGAACATTATTATGTATACATTTCGTTAGTGAATTTACAGCGTGCGCAGTTTCCAAGTTACAATCAATCTGTTTAGTTTCATGTCTTCTCTAAAGCACATCTAATTCTCTTATGAGTGTAGTAAGTACAAACAACATAGAGATCAAAACATGCCTTTAGTCATCAGGGGCACACAACGACGATTTCCACCTCAATTCATTGAAAGCACATTTTAGGCAATCTAGAGTACTTTTAAATGAGGGTGTAGATGGGGTTAACTGACAACTGACAAAACGCCTTAAGATTAACCGACAACTGACATTTGCCTTGGGTTTCACTGACAACTGACAAAGGACTTGATTGTACCTCATTTTCTACAAAACCCGCTTTTAAGACCTTTTATAAGTATTAGTACACTCTTTTTGTCAGACAATGTGATCAAATGTACGCTTATATGGATACTCTTCGAAGCAGGACGCTTAAGTGGCAAATTTCCTTAATGGTCTACCGTAAAGCCTATCATGTGTCATGGATCATCCGTTGGAAATGGCCATTGATCTCAAATTTACACTCCTCTGAGAACGCACCAGCATACACGTTGGCTGCTAATGAAGGCGGTATAAAAGCAATAGTAAATTTTTACCGAGATGTTTCAGATTCGGTCTTTTTTCGTCTTTCACATGATCTACGTCCCAGTATTCTAAAGGTATAAATTTTGATTGGCTTAATGGTTGGAAATGTTGGACTCTGGCCAGCAAAAACGTTTGTGTGGACGAGAGTAAAACAAGACTTGAGAAGTGGAGGGCCACTTGAAATGCTTTCAACAGGCTTGTTTATTTTCGCACGTATTGCGTGCCTATTGCAACTTTGAATCAAAACGAGCGATGTCGATTACAGTATTTGGGCGACGCCCAAGGGAAAAAACGTACGTAAACATTAATTGGTGATGCCGACTTTAGAAAACACCCGATCATCGGCGGCGTCCGTAAAATGACGACTTCTGCGCATGCTCATGTGTGAAATGATGCGTTTCTCCCTCGTGAGCCCCTTTTAGCTTCTCCATGGGTCAAAAATTTAACTGACAACTGACATTTTTCCCCCCCCCCCCCCCTCCCAATACAGCCCCTCTTAAATCGCTAGAAATGCATTCAAAGCGGCGCTATAAAATTTGTATGCGTTCGGTCACCCTAGGAGAACTTGAGTCTTTTCGAAATTACAAGGGCTTCAGTCTTATTATCTCGAAAATTGTAGATGCAATTTAACGTTTTACCAAAGAGAGAATTTTTCTTTTTTCTCTACGGAAAATAGCCCAACATGGGGGCTGACATGCGAAAATCTTAGGAAAGTTATTAGACAAGCTTCGAAAATTGTACATGAATAGAACAGGTATCTAGGAGAATTTTTAGCCGTCCTAAACCAATAGAAAATTCTAGGCCATGTTTGCTTTTCGGAACAGATATTAGATATTTTAACTCCTCAATATCTGGGGTCAGTTTTACTCCTGAAAAAGAGTTCTTTAAACTCCTTTTTGGAGTTAAAATAACTCCCCCAAAAATAACTCTACTGTAAGGAGTTAAATTAACCCCACTAGAGCAGTTATTATAACTCCTTGAAAATTACAGTGCAGATTCTCTGATAATCAGCCTTCAGTCTTACTGGTGAACAAAAAGCCTGCTATAACAACAGTATGATAAAGGATTTGTCGATATCTTAACTTCCTCTCAATTAATCCACTTATTTATTTTTATTTTTATTTTTTAACTCAGATGTTTGCTGGCATGAGCAGTTGCATCAAGAAGGAAGGACTACCCCCATTATGATAGTAAAAGTAATTAGAGGCACAATATAGAGCATTAAAAACGTGTTTACCACCTTTGAGCGTTGGTTTTTAATGTGGTTTTTGTTTTTTTTGCTTTGTTTTTTCTATTCTTTCTTTAATTTCTTTTGTTTTCTTTTCTTTTCTGTACTTTTGTTTTCTTTTTTTTTTTCTTCGCTGTTTATCAGTGACCTTGTTGACTTAACTTTTGTAACAAGGAAAAATGTATTTGAAGTGACGAACTGTAGTGGTACCTAACTCATTCGATTTCTTTAAGTATGGATGTCTGGGACCCTTTTGCACTCCCTCTCAAGAAAAATCCCACCGCCATCTTGGTCTAAATGTGATCAAATGTTTCTTCAACAAATGTTAAAATTTAGTAAAAAGTAGAGCACATCACAGGAGAGAACTTCACTACGAGCCCCTTACGACAGATACTCTATCTTGCTCGAAAAAATGTCTTAGATTGGACTAAAATTAGTCAAGTAGTTTTTGGCATTATCCCACACGTACCCTTGCTTGTTTTAAATCCGAACTTCAGTTCCCGAGGTGGTCCTCATTTGCATGTTTGCGCGTGCTAATAACCGTGAGCAAACCATGCTTTAATTCATGTGTTAAGCCTTGACCTACCAAACGGGGTCCACGGATCAGACCCAAGATTATGTTTGAGAATCACTGTTGAATTAAGCTGGCATGGTTGAACAATGTTTCTGGGTGTTTAGGGATTTGACTCCATGTAAAAGCCACTTCTAAATGCATGATACTTTTAGATTCCAGATGACTATGTAAACTTGGCTCTCGTTTTCCCATTGGGGTGCAAATAGACCCCAACAATAAAAACAACAGCAACAGGAATGGCAACAAACAAACACATCTAGCTATCAGAGGCACCCAACGACTGTTTTCTGTAAAATATCTGTTCGGAGAAGCGAATATTGCCTAGAAATTTCTATTACTTGAGGACGGCTAATAATTTCTAGATGACCGCGTTCCATTCATGTACGATTTTCGAAGCTTATCTTATAAATTCCCTAAAATTTTCTGAAGTTTAATTGCACAGTTTACTTTCCCAAGTTAGTCTATTTTTTCGTAGAAAAAAAGGAACCTAAAGTTCTCGGATTCAAAAATGTGATAGCGTTAGGAACAATCACAAAATGACTCACTTTCGTAATACGTCCAATTTCATCTAAAATTTTCGGGAAAATGATACTCTTGAAAGCATTTGTAATTTCGAAAGACCAAAGTTCCCCTAGGATCAGCGAAGAGATACAAATTTTATAACGCCGCTTATAATGCATTTCTAGATTTTTAAAACTACTCTCAGTAGCCTATACAGTTTTTTTCAATGTATTTAGGAGGAAACCATCGTTGGGTGCCCCTGATCTGTGCATCTTATACCACGGTTGATATTCCCGTCTCCTATAGTGTGTTTCCCGCGTGACTTCTCGCCACTTCCCCAGCAGAGAACTGGCTGCGAAACGACACACCCATTGATAGAAAACTATCAACTAACGTAACAATCTTGAAAATGGCACAAACGTCCAATATCATAAAACTTTCGGCAAGTAAGGTTATTATTTAACTTAGTAATAGTTAGTAATGCAGATTCTTCTCTCACTGCTGAATACTTAATACTTATTTAATGTGTGCAACTGAATAAACAGCTTTGCTGGCTTTCAGAAAATTTAACGCTCACTTCTTTTGAGAACTCAATGCCGACTTGAGAAATCAAAACTGTTACAGTCAGTCTAATCACCTAAAATACTGACATTCTTTCAACTGCGATATCAGAATGACAACATCATCAACAACAATAACAACGTTACAGCAGCGTCATGTTCAAGTTGAAATGGGTTAACGTTACTGCTGTCGAATTAGTAATTTCAATCAGGTGCTTCAAAAATAAACTACTTGTTCATAGCAAACGATTGTCCTGTTTTATTATCACACACAAACTTTTGCTTCCAATGATCTGAGTCAGTGCACGAATAAATCAGTGTTTACATTGCAATTACAAAAGAGCTGTACCCGAAAGGAAGTCTATTGAATTTAAAGCTCGTCTCTTTTCAGAACTCAAAGCCAAGTTAAAAAGGTAAAACTAGCACAGTGTATGGCAGTCTATAATCACCTAAAATTCTAACATTATTTCACTGGCGATATCATCAAACAACATGGCAACCGCAACAAAAACAACAACGTTACAACAGCGTCATGTTCCACAAAATGGCTTTTCCCGGATATTAAATTGACAGAGTTGGATCAAATACTTTTTGTAAAACAAAGCATAAAAGTTTCTCTGAAAATAAAAATGGGTCGCTGTTGTTAGTATTTTCAATCAGATGTAAAAAGTTCTACTTGCTAGCTGAAACGATTGCGCTGTTTTATTATCACAAAAACAAACGTTTGCCATGCATGATCTGAGTGAATGGACGACCAAATCGATGTTTACAATGCCATTACAAAAGAGCTGTACCCGAAAGGAAGCCTATTGAATCGACGCTCGTGATCAGCTAACATTTAAAAGACCGCCTAAGAATTCTATTCAAACGATTGTAAATACAAAACCTTTAGAGAAGATAACAATGAAACAGGTGAGACCACTGATAAAACATTCCTCTCTATAAAAACAACTATGTACTTGAGTTTTTAAGCACTTTCTGAAGATGAGGTTCTGGATCGGACTTTCAGTCTTTCTGCTTGGGATTTCAAGCACCCAAGGTAGGAAACAGCCCTAACTACTGAGTGTGCAAAATATTATAAACGCGTATAAGTTTTGGATTATATGAATTTTTCCGTCACCTATCCCTGGTATACATGTATTGGCTGACCCCTTTTTTGCTTCTCTGAAATTGCTGTTTGTAGCTGATGAAATCACACTCTTTTTCTATAAATAGACAAGGAAGGCACACATCCACAATGCCCAATTTCGATCAGTTTATGTTTTTTTTTTTTGACACTTATGCAGTTATTTATTTTATAATGCCACATTTCACAAAAGGGTTTCCGTTTTTCTCTAAAACTTCTAAAGAGCAATTTTGCTTCATTTTAAACACATTTTAGGCTGCGGAATCAAGCCATATTCTGCGCGAGTGGTGAATGGAGAAAATGCCCACCAACACGCCTGGCCTTGGCAGATTTCTCTAAGAGTGAATGGTCGCCATATTTGTGGAGGATCTCTAATCAAGAATGATTGGGTCGTCACAGCGGCTCATTGCGTAGATCGAAATCCTAGCCCAAGTGGCTATACTGTCGTTGTAGGTAAGTATTTTTGTTTTTGTTTCTTTTCTTTTCTGGTCACAAACGTTTTTCAACAAAGTTTAAGGCATAACACACCTCGCGTTTATGAGCCAGACTTGTAAAAAAATAAATTTTCTTTACTCCCGTTCCCGTAGCTTGTTGTTATCATTATTATTTTTCTTTCTTTCTTTCTTTCTTTTTTATTATGATTTTTAACCATGCGAAGCCTAAGCTTTTTTTATCATTACTTTTTTGGGGGAAAAGAAATCCCGATTAACTTAACAACCTCACTTACGTTACAAAGAAACAATGAAAATATACAATAAGTAATGGTAACAGGACTGCGTAGAGTCCAATTCTGTCTGTAATCATACGAGTGATTAACAAAATCGGACGACCGCGTAGCGGGAGTGCGATTTGTTTAATCACGAGTATGATTACAGACCGAATTGGACGACACGAAGTTCTGTTACCAATTAATCATAACTTTAACAAAATTTGTGATATAATAGGGTATTCTTTTTAAATCAAAACACAAGAAATTCGAATTTTTGTTTTGCTAGCAGTGAAAAAAAAAAGCCATTTAAGCGCGCGCGTGATGGCGCGTACTGTCCAATTACTTAGGCATGACGCGTACTGTCCTATTAAACTGTCCAATTAAGGCTGAAATCAGGGCAGTTGATCACCAATCAGATTTGGCAATTTTGTTATAGTTATGATTAAACTACTAACATGGGGACTGTAAATACAATTTATGTAGGGGCCCATCTGCGAACTGGATCAACTGCTGTCCAGCAAACCTTTCGTCTAAAAAAGCTGTTCAAACACGAGCAGTTTAGCATGAGACATCTGAGAAATGATATCGCCCTACTGCAACTGGAGAGACCAATTTTAGCTAGTTCTAAAGTAAACACTGTGTGTTTGCCGTCATCTGGAACCAGGATACCTACAGGATCACGATGCTATATCACAGGTACTCCAGTTCGAAATTGTTTGTGACTAGAATACATTAAAATCAGGTACAGTATTAGTGATGAGGGTAAATCACTGTTTTAAAAACGGTTAGCGCTCAATAATATAACAATCAATGCCATGTAAAGTACGTTAAAATTATTCTGCACCGGCAGTCAGCCCTTGATAGTTTAGTGGATACGGATGTGGATTATACATTAAATGTGCGGGTTNAGGTTACTATCGCTATTGATAATGGCTTATCATTTCAAAATGTTAAAAACTCATAATGTGTGCATTGCTGTTTCTAGATTCTTAGCCACAGGATTGACAAGCAGTACTACATGGCAGGAACAAAAATACCGTTACAAGGAAGGTTGGTTTACAGCTTTTACTGAATAATACCGTTAACTGTTTCTTCTAAACTCAGAGCGTGTTTGTCTACAAGGTTAAGATATTTAAATTTTGCCTTCCTAAACAATGACAATGGTATAGTACCAAATCCTCTGCTAAATGATAGAGAAGTTCCAGAAGGTGGCAAAGGATTGCAAGATGGAAATGGACTACAGCTTGAGAAAAATTTTTGAGTGGGGCAGGAGAGGGGCGCGGGAGTCCGGTAGAATAGGGGATGGGATGGGGTAAAGAGAGGAGAGAGGGGGACTTGGAGTTCTAAAAGGGCGGGAAGTTAGAAAAATAGGGAGAATGAAAGCCGTTTCAAAGTCGTTCCACAGTCGAAACTTCCCGGCCCAGCTAGGTGTGAAGAACGGCTGAGCCGTTCCAAATTGAAATAGGCGTTTCTAATTGATTCAGACGCCGAACTTTTCATGTACTTAATTCACCGAGTGGGCCTCATTAGGCAGATTAAGCTAAGACAACGCAATGTCCAATAAGAACGCAAAGGGCCGCAAAAAGGACTGAACACGACTTCGGGTGCTTTATTTGCCGCTCTGCCAAATGAATTTTTAAAAGTTATGTTCCATTTGTCCGACCACCGACTCTCACGCATTCCCGAAAAAAAAAATAGAAAAGGCTTGTTATCTTCACTGCGTCGTCGCGTAGTCTTTGCTAAATCTTCCTACTGGATCCTGTGCGCCCTTAACCATTAACTGTATCTTAGCAATTTGTTTCAGTATCTACAATTTGTAATTTGATTGGTAGGTATGATGTAGACAACACAGACCTGTTGCAGCTGAGGCTTCTTTCACAACAAAAGCAATTGTCGGATTTCAAGGCTGCCAAAGACACAAAGTAAGTGATTTTCTTTTTCTTTTTTGTCTTTTTTGTTTTTTTTTTGTCTTTTTTTTTTTTTTCTTTTTTTCTTTGTTTCTTTTTTTTTTTTTTTTTTTTTTTTTTTTTTTTTTTGCCGAGGACAATCAGAGACTTTCTCAAAGCTTCTGCTTACTTGAGTCACTCTCGTCTCAGTCGTGACTTCTTCGTTCGCTTTCTCTCTTTGCGAGCGTTCCTCGCACCTTCAGCGCTTTCCCGAGGCCGACTAATGACAAGTCTAAAATATACCCAGCCTTTTAACCTTTATAATACCGAATAAGTAACTGAATACATAGAAAACAAACACAACCACATAAAATGCATTTATGATAATTTTCTTAAGGATGGGGACGCACCGTTGGTGGAGGTTCAGCTGCTGATGTTCTACAACAGGCCATGTTGCCAGTTGCAGCTCATAGCGCCTGCAGTCGAGTCAACGGAAGGTTAATTCCTGTTGATGAGAAATCGATGATTTGCGCTGGCGGGCAAGGCAAGGGTGGATGTCAGGTAGATTGACTATAGTATATTCCTGATTTTAACCGTCTTTATTTTGACCTAACGTCTGAATAATCAAGGATTGAAAGTCCTCAATCGATAGGAGACTTTTTCCGCTCATTTATCCCTCCATTTCTTCCTTAAAGGGAGACAGCGGAGGTCCTTTTGTGTGCAGTGAAGGTGGCAGATTTGTGTTACGAGGTGCTGTTAGCTGGGGACATTCAATGTGCAGGACTGATCACTATACCGTGTTCGCTCGTGTGAGCAGTTTCATAAACTGGATTAACCAGAAAATGTCAGGTACCCGAACAAAGTTTTCTTAGTTTTTCGTTTCGCTAAAATGATTTGCCGAAAATTCTAAGCTATCTAAAGAACAAAATAGATGAGAGGAGATAGAGATAGAGAGGCGAAAAATGAGAATTTTAATTTTTATCTTAGGGTTTAAAAGGTTGACTAGAAACTAAGATTGGTTTTCCCCTTCACAGGTGGAGGAGGCGGAGGTAACGGTGGAAGTAAGTTGAAATAAAAATACTCCATAATTATAAAATGATGATATTATTACAGGAGAAAAATATTTCTTGTTGCTAAATCCCACTAATTTTTTCTCCATATTCTTATATTTTTTAACTCTTCTTTTTATATGTATTCATGTATCCTACCTCTACAATCGTTGTCATCATCAATCGTCATCATTATCATTATCATCACCATCGTTATATTAACATAAGAACCTTTAACGTTTATACATAAATTAACAATTAATGAATGAGGCTGAGTATCTTATGAAGAATTATGAAGACCGAGGAGGGTGTTATCCGTCGAGGCCGTAGGCCGAGGCGGATAACACCCTCCGAGATCGCCATAATTCTTCATATGATACGAAAGCCGAATTCAATAATTGTTTTATTATGCATTCAAAATAATTCATAGTTTAAAAATATAGCTAAAACATGCTTACCTCCATCGATCCATCGATGTAAAGTTCATCTTTGATAGTGTACGTTTAGGTTGTTCAGCTCCGCAAATATTCTCCAAATAGCAGATGTCGCCCTTCGAGTTGTCTTCTTGCTGTTCTTGCCATGTTTTTAGCTATTTTTTCGCCTAGTTCTTACTCTTGAAACGAGTGAAATGTCCGCCATTTTTGTTTCTAGAATCAAAACAACTCAACCTCGTCCCCAGGTCTTCTCGGGTAACGGTGCCTTAACCTGCACGAAAGCTGCATTTTTGACGTCATTTCCTCGTTAAACACAAAATTCTTCCAAATTTGGTCATCAGTAACTGGTTATGGTGAATTAAACGTGTGCTTTTAGCCAATCAGAATCGGAAAAATATTTTGAATGAATAATAATCATATTTAATAAATTTACAGAATACTCACTAATTCATTTATAATTTATTACTAGTCATTGGACAATCAACTTTTTCCTTATATTTTCTATTCATGGTCAATTGTAAAATTACTCTATTCTATTCAGTATAGACACGAGTGTTTTACTGGAAAATATACCACTAGTAAAATTCATAAAAACTACATCCTGGACCCAAGTGGTTTATTTTCCATAATCTCACACGTGAGTTTATCGATAACGTAATTTCCCTCTATTATTTCATCGATGTCTTTTTGTCTATATAACAGAAACAACATTACACGGCGGCTTGAAGAAATGAATTTTATTTTCTTGTGGCAAAAACATATTGTTTTTGCCAAGAGAAAATAAAATTCGTATCTTCGCGCCACCAAGTAATATCCTCTATGTATGCTTCTCTTTATTTATATAAGTATATTTGATTAATAAAAACAAATCTAATGTAAAGAGGAATTCTCAACTATAAGACTTTATGGCCTGTTGAGACTTCCTCGCCTTTTGTATACTTTTTAGCTTCGTGTGAATTTCATGTAATTTTTTTCTCATTGTTTGCTTTCATTTCTATGTAAAAAGGCATTAAAAATCAATAAATCAATAATCAATAATAATCAATTATCAATATCAGCATCAGTATCTGTATTATTATTTTTATTATTATTATTATAGTATTATTATCATCATCATCATCATTATCATTATCATTATCATTAATACTTGTTTATCATTTTCATAACATTTTTCGTCTGGTCCTTGGCACTTTTTTCGTGTATAGATTGTGTGGATAACAATCCAAATTGCCGTTACTGGACAAAGTACTGCTCTTGGCACGCTTATGTGCAGGCGAATTGCAAGAAGACGTGTAAAAAATGTTAAAACGTGAGTTCCAACGAATTTTCAAAATTGTGTTCCGAAGAATTATACTGTAAATAAGTGAATCATGATTTATAGGAAGCATGTTGGTAAATTAATTAAAAAACACTGAGTGCTGAATTATACCTTGTTACAAAGGCGTTAATCCTTTTTTCATATCTTTTTTCTTTTTTCTTTTTTTTTTCAAAGAACCTACTTCCCACTCCAGCAAAAAACATCGACTGTTTACAGTTAGATTACAGCAAGGCTTTACCTCTTTTGTTTACAGAAAAAAAAGACACTTAAGGCCAGGGAATTCTAGCTTATAGGTGTGGTCTGCTTATTCAGTTAGCCTCAATTTCTTTTAAAAGAAATATCATTATTTTGCTTTATTCATTTTCAGGTTATCCTACCTGCAGTCAAGTATAAAACCTTTACCATCGCTACTACATTGTAAAAGTAGCCAAGGAATGGCACAATAAAAGTATTAAAAACGCGATCGTGTTTGGGTTTTGTCAGTGACTTTAAATGATGTTTTCCTTTTATTCCCCTTCTTTCGTTATCACGAACAAAATGAATAAAAAAATTAAAATCTCCAGTCGAAATTAAATGCTGACCCTCCAATGTAAGTTTGACATATTTGTTATATCTGAGTGCCGGAAGTTTCAGCTGCCGACTTTGCAGGGAATGAATGTTGAAAACAAACTGACGCCAAAAAAAAAAATGTAGAACAAAGGCAACAGTATATATGCAGCAAGAAAAAACGTTTGATTTTGTAAATACGGGTGGTTGTTTGACTGAATTATCCTCTGTTTGAAATTGTAGAATATTTTCCCCTTTATCATTTATAAGTATAGCTCACTCAATTCAAACTTGATCAAAGGGCTTTAAGGTAGGTTATATTCAGCTGCAACTGTTCAGTGACAGTTCAGCAAAAAAGCAAATGACTTGAAAAGATAGTATTTAAACTTGGTTCTTGTACAAATTAGTAAGTGAAAGAAAGTCGGGGGGAGATATCTCCTTGTGAGAGAGGCAAAGATCATCTGGTAAGGGACCCGTGATCATACCAGTCTGGGCGTAGTTTAAGCTGTGTTTGACTACCCTGAAGCCTCGTGCAAACGGAAGCAACAATTTTGGCCAACAACTCCCAACATTCGTAAACGTGACATGTTGCGTCCGTTTGCACACCCTGTTGTACGTGATTGCATGTTGTTGAGTTTAAAACCGGGCAAACTTTTAGGCACGTGCAAACGGACACAACAACGTTGTTGGGACAACAATTTTGAGAGTTGTTGCGTGCGTTTGCACATACGTAGCTTGAGTTAGCAATGTAAAACAGAAAGCCAGATAAGAATGGAACTTAAAGTTATAGCGACGAAAACGTCGTTTTGCTTGCATTCTTTTTCTTGTTAAGTTAAATTTAAGTCTCGTTCTGCATTCTTTACTTTATTTTTCCACAAAAAGCCACGAGAATCAGTGATATCTGTATAGGTTCAAATAGTGTCGTTCTGTCTTTTTACCTTGAACATCGTAACTGGCACGGGACGAAAAAAGGGATTTGCTTAAATTTGCTCCTTGCATATATGTCGCAGATGTATAAATACTGAGGAGTAAATATATGACAAACAAACTAAATGCGATATTGCCTAGTTATTTACACCTCCTGTTTTTTGGCATTTACCATCCTTGCCATATATTTACTCCTCATTGTTTACATATTTGCGACATACTTGCAAAGAGCAAATTTGTGCAAATCCATGTTTTCGTACAGTGTGGTATCAAAATAGGCCATTTGCAAGTTCCTCGGGCCTCTGTTTCAAAACGAGGATTGGTGCTCAGCCTTTGATATGGAAATCATTTTTTATTCTCATTTTCACAAGAAAGGCTGTGCACCTAGCCTCATTTTGAAATTGAGGGTTTTTGGAACGCGAAAGTGGCCTATATACAATGTACACTCGTACTCGTAAACCAGGTGATCAGCATCCCATGTTATTTCTCAAGGGAGTATACCGTGCCTGCGTCGGGAAAATAGCTCTAACAAGGCAAAAAGGAGAAGTTTGACCAATGTGATTAACTTAAGCTTCAGGCGATGTAATGTAAAAAAGGGCCCGAAAGCTTCGCCATCTTATTCAATAGACCATCGAATTAATATTTTCTTGTGAAACAAAAACGGCATCACTATCTTCCAAAAACACATGTCAAATGTTTAAAATAGCTCGACAAAACGTACGTAAGCGATCATTTCGCCACTTGTCAGAACTGTTTCAGGTGACGCATCACTGATAAACTATTACTGACCCTCAATAAACCAAGTGTTTATTTAAATTCATCAGTCAGAGTAAACTTGAGAAAAAGACTTTTAAAAGGGTTGATATTCAGCTGCAAGTTTTGAGTGATTGCATGAATGGAAAAGGGTCATCACGAGCAAAACTATTGAAAAGGAGTAAATTAAAAGGGGTTTTCTTTCAGAACGGATATGGTGAAACGAAATTTATATATGTTACTGCAGATTGCAATAAAAAAAGAAACTGAGATGGGTTTACAATAATTTGTTTTTCATCGACTTAATAGTAAAAGATGTTCTCTTGTGTTATCAGGAGAAAATTGCGGACAGGTTTTCTCATAAAGGGAACTTTTGCCATCTGTATCAATGAGTTATCAAATATATGTTTTCACTCTCAACAGATAGGCCATTATCGTTACCAGTCGCACATCAAATAGTTGAAATAGTTTGCCAATATCTGAAATTACTCTAATTTTATCCCCCTATTAGTGATGTAGAAATATTTGAGAACTAAAACAGGTGAAAGACAACTCATAAAGTATTGAGCCAATAAAACAAGTGTTGTCTTAAGCTCGATAACAGTTTTTGTAGAAATTTTTTTTTGGTCAAAATCTCTCGGCTACATATAGTGCGCATTAGTGCCTTGCGTTGAACAGAGTTTCACCAAAATTGCTAAGACCCATGACCCCATGAATGAAATTCAGTGGTTTCCAAATTTAGGTCATAATTTATACCGGCAACAGCAGAATTTCGACTCAGTCCCCAAAGAGGCGTGGCACTATAACCACGTGACATTTGCCCGAATCGCCAAAAAGTTTATGCT